AAGACAAAACCCCCCACTACACACAGCAGAAGGAGAGATTGGGTTGCGGACTCGAGAGCAGAGGAGTTGGGAGATGTAGCCGCCGGGCGAGATGTGCAAGTGTGGGTGGGATTGTGAGGTGGTGCCGGGTGAGACCGGGCGTAGTGCCACGGGGTGGGCGAAGTGTGCGGTGGTGGTGCGGTGTGAGTGCGGATGGGTGGTGGTGGGCAGGCCCGTGTGCGGGTTTGGTCGGTGGTATGTGGTGCTGGTGTGTTGTTCTTTTAGTGTGCACGCGGCTGGTGTCACGTTAAATAATTGAGCTGCATGACTACCGCTGGGGAATTTGTGCCGGTAAATTAGAGGGTATCTTTGGCAATGGAAGGATGGTGTTGGATGATTGGTTTTTTGGTCGTGGAGGCATTGGTGAGGTAAGGGGAGTGAAGTGGCGAAAAACAGTGAGAGCAGCGGGAAGGGGTAGTGGGGGTGGTGCGCAAGGTGGTGAATGAAAGTTAGGAAGGGGGATAAGGGACGCGGTGGTGGCGTCGCGATTTAGGCCGCGGGGAGTTGTCGGTGGATACGGTCTAGGGCGGGTGTGGGCGAGTTTGGTTCGGTATATGTAGCAGTTTACGCGGTGAGTGGTGGGCTGTAATGCAAGGCGGTATGTTACATAAAATACGGTTGAATGGGCTTTATTGAGACTCGCACATGGGTACGGCGGACGTTCACTGCTATTTAACCGATTATGTAGTGCGTTAATGGCAATCTGCGATGTTTTTATTAGTGGGTGATGCGGGCATGCAGTGGAAATGAGGTCTTTGTTTCCCCTGTGGATGGTGACAATCGACGCTTGAACCTACATGTCGGGGGTTGCGAGTTTGCGCGACAGTAAGTATTCCCACCATGCAAGGCAACGTCAAAGGCGGTCAAGCTCTAAGCTCTTGATGTTGGTAGGTTGGTTGAGGTGGTGGGGTTGGTGCAGAGTAGTGAGTGCACCACACGGAAGTGGCGTCCGGGAGTGAGGAGGTGCGATAGGGCGGGATAGGCAGCTATGGAGAGCGCGGGATGGAGGAGGGGAGAATTGAAGCATGTGCTAGATAATAGGGAGATAGGGAATGATGGGAGCAAGTCGTGGCGTATTAGATGCAAGGATACAGGTGAGATGGGAAATGGTGGTTTAGCTACGACACTGGGGTGGGAAATATCCAGCATTGAGGTATCTATGTGAAAGTGCAGAAGGCTGCGTAAGCCAGGATTGTTCGATAATGTGAGGTCGGTGTACCATCGAGAATCCAGTAGTTGCGGGGTAATTTTTTATAGAAATCTAAGGAATGGAAATACGAACGTGTGGTAAAGCACTTTTCACTTGGAGAAGAAAATGTGGACTAAAAGCCGCAGTTTATGAACGATGACGTGGTTCAAGTAGAAGTTGACTAACGAACGCTAGCACCAATGGTGTACGTAATATAAACACCTTATGAATGACTGGACAGATAGTTAATTTTGCAAATCAATAGATTTTATTTTGTTCTTCCTCCTAGCTATACGTCACTCCATACATTGTATATAGTAGGTAACATAATGACATTCATTTTGTGTACAGGGAAACAGGAAGACTACGCAGTTAAGGCAGGAAAGCCAATTATTGAACGTGGGAATGATTCTCAGGGAGAAAGAAACCAACAACAACTGAACTGTGCTCGTTATATAAAAAACTCTCAGCGACTTAAAACAACTGCTTGGTATACTAGGTAACTAAGTAAATGGTGTTATGTTTTAACTTTTTTTATTCTGATTAAGTTTATACTTTCTTTTATGATAGGTAATGAAATTGTATTTAATTATTAAAAACTGTTGCCAGAATTGGCATATAAACATTAAAGAACGACGTGAAAACGCATCTATCGTGGCTTTTAAACAGTATTGAGACATTGGGAATATTATTAGGGATTTAGTATAAGAACTACAAAGTTATTCAGAAACTAAAATGTTTCTTGTACAATATTTCACTGTGAAATTTATCCATCAGCCTCACTTCCGTAATTGTTATTCATAAAGTTGCTTTATATCTCTCAGCATGCTATTCAAAATTTCCGCTTTGTTCCAAAAGATCAGTATTGGCCTATATTCCCGCCGTCTAATAGGCTAACCAAAACTAACGTTACGGTACCTGAGTCGTTCCAGCTCGTCAAAGCGACCTTAGTATAATAAATGAAGTTAACGTGGGAAGGTTGGCGTGTTCTCCCGGCTAATGGTGAGATTGGCGCCGACCTACAGGGTTCGATTTGTCGGGGATTTATTCAGCCAGCGAGTGTATCTCCAGCGTTTGGGAACCGTGACCAGGTCAGAATATTGCTTTAAAGCTCCGACTGGTCCCGACCGTCGTGTGAAGTTTATTGGCAGTATTGCGTTTGTGGGAGAGAGAGAGAGAGAAGAAAGAGGAGAAAGAGAGAGAGAGCAAGAGAGAGAGAAAGAGAGAGTAGAGAGAGAGAGAGTAGATGAGAGGAAAGAGAGAGTAATAAGGAGAGAAAGGAAATGAGATGGAAAGAAAGATCGCGTCAGAAATTTCGTTTTTGTTTGTGGTTTTATTGTGCCCCCCCCTTGTAATGCACCAGGCACTTCGCGCTGATATTTTTTAAGAAGAAACCAGGTGAAAGTTAACTGATGTAGCGGCAAGCCGGCCCTGCAGAAGTGCTCACCGAAAAGCAAGTTGTCATGGACACAGATGATTAGTCTAGTGTCGGCCCTCCGTCGGGTGCAACGACGGATATCGGCACGATCAGAGTCGTGTATAGGGTGGGGAAATGGCTAGTCTGAGCTAAATGTAGATTTTTAAACATATGACAACCAGAATGAATTTAATTTTATATGTACGTTTTCAACAGATTTTCACATTTTTAAGTAATTGACTCCAGAAGATGGTTGAATTATTGGACTGACCCTTCTCCTTTAATAAAGTTTATCTTACCATTCTATAAAGTTATCAAGCAGGATTACAGTGCTAATTTTATTATGCTGATTTAAAGACATTATCAGATACTGTGGACGTTTTTGCGATCATAGAATTATAAGTATCGAACCTTCGACATTATAATTTGAGTTGTGAAATGGATTGAATTTTGATTTAAATTAGAGCTAATCTTTATATGATTAAAGAGAGATTTGTTATCCGACGCAAACTGGATTGGATTGATTGATTTTGTATGAATATTTTCAACAATGTTCTAGTGGGATTTGCTAAGATATTGGAGCGCCTTTTATTTGTCATGGCTGGCCCTCGGATTCTAAGAGTAGAGTGATATAGCAGAGAGATGATAATTGATTTATATATATCGGAAATTAAACTTCTTTATTACTAACTTTCAAAATGGATTATGATAAGACGCTCAACTGGCTGATTGAAATCGCATCTCAGTGGAAGGATATAAAATGTAGAGTAATTACTAAAAGAAAACTTGCCAATGGGAAGTGAAACCAAGGAATCATATTTCACGCGAAGTCATACGAGAAATCTCTTCTAGCGGAGAAATTCCGGTGGATTTCATCTGTGAGGGAGAAAAGTGCAAACATCTGACGATAGTTCTGTATATTATTGTTATGAATTGTAATCCCTAGATGAGTCACAGCTAGAAATTAAGTAAACCAGCTGGACAAAAGAATACTCACAAGATGATTTGACACGTCAAAGAGCACACCCACTGAGGAAGAATAAAGAAGATGAATATTCTCGAATAAGTCAGTGCAACAATGGTTAAATTACACTTGTGATTAAAACAATTTTGCAGGAAACTGAATATGAATGGTATATGGTGTCAGACGATACAAGTACAGTAAAGTTTGTACAGTGTACGTTCCGCAAGAATACAAAGAAGTAACTTTGCGTTTATAAATATGGACATGTTTGTCAGCTTGTGTCCGTAGGGGAGTAGAACCCACTGTGAATATGAGAATTGAAGTTCATTTGTATGCTAGTGGTCAAAATAGCCGGAATAATCAAATATTTGAATTTTTTAATCAAATTTCACGATAGAGTTCAATTGTTTATAATTTTCTAATATATATTTTATGTATATAACCCTAAGAATCGTTTATAGAGTAGTTGATGGTATATACGGTTCTCAAATAAGGTGTCGTTGTTGGTAGGAATAACTTTGGACTTTTTTAAAATAACATAATAGTATTGTGTCATTGTGCAAAATGATTTTTTTAAGTTACATAGCAGTGTGTCGACGTTATGACGATTTGATGAGTTTTGCGAATGTATATGAAGACGTTATTCGAGAACAGATATTATTGAATATAAAAAAAAAGTAAGTCATTAGTATGTCTATGAGACACATATCTTAATATATTAATCCAGTTCATATACCGTGAGGCTGTAGATTAACTGTTAGCTATAATTTTAGTATCTGCTCACCGTGCATTATTGGGGAATTTATAGGTGGTAGGATCCTCATTATATAGATGAAAGGGAGTATGTGAGCTAATATTAATCCAATTTTTTCCATGTAATGTGATCGGGTAAGCGTGAAACTCGTCATTTATACTATTCTCAGAGCGCCAGCCGACTTAATACGTTAACGAAAAACATCACGCAGAGATTGTGATATTAAAAAGCTGATGATAAGAGATATGCTCTGATACACACAGTATGCTTGTGGAATGATACAACAAAGCTTTCACTGGCTTGGACTGTTGAATATATGCGCCTTTGCACGCTCACGCTTGGCATGGTTTTATAGGGGATGTAAAATTCCTTTGTAACACACCGGTCGGTTTTTAATGTTCAGATAAGTCAGCATAACTGTCGTTACATTATAAAATACGTTATCGTAATAACTGAATCTCAATTGCAAGCTACCTCACAGGAAAGGTATTTTTCACTTATGGCCAGTTTTGCAGGCAGCCGTTCATTACGTTTTCGGTTAATATCAGAGTCATAGTGAAGCAGCTGACTGGCAACGACGAGTGAGTGATTGTGCTGGTGACCT